GTAAAAAAATATATATATAGATGATGCTGGAAAGGTAAACTGGGTGCCAAATCTCAGAAATTTGCTATTTTACACAGGTTTTGCCCACGTTTGATTATCACAAAGTGTGGATGATTCTTTATTGTTTACAACATTATTCAAACAACGGTTGAAAGATATTGATTGCCGAAATTGACATAGTTTTATATCATCTTAGCACTATTTAAGTAATTATAGTAGCATTATGCCTTTGTTGCAGCCTGAAAAATATTGAATGTGTCTCTCAGATAGGTCTTTGCCAAGAGCCTTATGTAAATTTAGAATATCGCTTCATGATTTTTAGTATTTAAACATACGTCGAAGCAAATATGAATATGTATAGAAATCACTCTGTTTGCAATGTGATCTGAACGTTATGGTGGAAGAGTTCCTCATCCTGTTTATTTGTGTTTGACTATAGTGCAGCAGAGAGAACACAAGCCCATTATACAGTGCATTTTACAAAAGATATAAATGTTGATGGAGCGCCGCACAGTCGGCAGGTGGTATAATAATAATCATGGTTGAGTTGGTGACAGAAACGATTTACGTTTTTTCCTTGTAAGAATACTTGTGTGTATTCCTGTTTATTTGTAAAAAGTATCATGACCTAAGATTAAAATATCTCCCAAGGCTATCCAATGTTAATCACCATTCAGTGATACTCTTGTGTCATATATTAGATACAAATAATGAGGATAGTTTACGAGCGCAATATCCCGGCCAATATCGTGACGAAAACAATTTATACAATAAGAAATGAAACGAAATGAAAAGAGATTCAATGGAACTTTATAACATTATGCTTTAATAATACTCAGTTATTCTGATTACGAGTTTATTACCATCTTATATAAGCAGTGTTATGGAAATATTTATGCCTTTTAGTTACATTATATATATATTGTTGATCACCGCATGACTCACTCATCTTTCATCAAATCAAGAAAGACCACCAGTTGTAAAAAATGCTGTTCTTGTCACTAGATATAGAAACAAGGCATGTTTTGGAAGCTTGACTTCTGTTACTATAATGAGAATATTATTGCTATTGCAACTTAAAAAACCATTGTAATTTTCCTGTATGCTGTACGGTTATACTAATTCTCATTGCCAATACATTATACTGTAGTAGGAAAACCAAGTTCTATGGATAGTCAACTTCTTTATTGCAACGAGTGCGACGTTTCGGTGTAAGTACTAACACCGTTATCAAGCAAGTGATACAAAGAGTTGTAACATGGAGAATATATACATAGCTGCATAGTGTGGATATACAATTGACAAGGTTGATATACATTGGATTACTAATTAGTGATTTGAGCAGAGGACGTTGATGTACAGAGTGATAGTGATTAGAAACAATATGCAGAATGAGTTTATACAATAGATGAGTTGATGTACACTGAGATGGTAATTGTGAGTTTAAGAGAGTAGGTTGATGTACACTTGCTTTACTGTGTTGAATATTCCATCACAAGGGATAAGTATTTCAAATCACGAACTATGAAGGATCTTTTTAATAATATAAGTTCTCATTTAATTATTGCATTTTTAAAAGAATTTAGATTTGTTAAATGATTTGTAAATAGATAACTATTTTATGATTGGAGGTTCTATATTGTATTGTTGTCTATAGTGACATATTTGTATGATAGGGTGCAAGTTTTATATTGTATTGTTGTCTGTAGTGATATATTTGTATGATAGGGTATTAGTTTTATATTGTATTGTTGTCTGTAGTGATATATTTGTATGATAGGGTACTAGTTTTATATTGTATTGTTGTCTATAGTGATATATTTATATGATAGGGTACTTGTTTTATATTGTATTGTTGTCTATAGTGATATATTTATATGATAGGGTACTAGTTTTATATTGTATTGTTGTTTATAGTGATATATTTGTATGATAGGGTACTAGTTTTATATTGTATTGTTGTCTATAGTGATATATTTATATGATAGGGTACTAGTTTTCTATTGTATTGTTGTTTATAGTGATATATTTGTATCATAGGGTACTTGTTTTATATTGTATTGTTGTCTATAGTGATATATTTATATGATAGGGTACTAGTTTTATATTGTATTGTTGTCTATAGTGACATATTTGTATGATAGGGTGCAAGTTTTATATTGTATTGTTGTCTGTAGTGATATATTTATATGATAGGGTACTAGTTTTCTATTGTATTGTTGTCTGTAGTGATATATTTGTATGATAGGGTACTAGTTTTATATTGTATTGTTGTCTATAGTGATATATTTATATGATAGGGTACTTGTTTTATATTGTATTGTTGTCTATAGTGATATATTTATATGATAGGGTACTAGTTTTATATTGTATTGTTGTTTATAGTGACATATTTGTATGATAGGGTACTAGTTTTATATTGTATTGTTGTTTATAGTGACATATTTGTATGATAGGGTACTAGTTTTATATTGGATTGTTGTCTATAGTGATATATTTGTATGATAGGGTACTAGTTTTATATTGTATTGTTGTCTATAGTGATATATTTATATGATAGGGTACTAGTTTTATATTGTATTGTTGTTTATAGTGACATATTTGTATGATAGGGTACTAGTTTTATATTGGATTGTTGTCTATAGTGATATATTTGTATGATAGGGTACTAGTTTTATATTGTATTGTTGTCTATAGTGATATATTTGTATGATAGGGTACTAGTTTTATATTGTATTGTTGTCTATAGTGATATATTTGTATGATAGGGTACTATTTTTATATTGTATTGTTGTTTATAGTGACATATTTGTATGATAGGGTACTAGTTTTATATTGGATTGTTGTCTATAGTGATATATTTGTATGATAGGGTACTAGTTTTATATTATATTGTTGCCTATAGTGATATATTTGTATGATAGGGTAGTACTATATTAGGGTACTAGTTTTATATTAAGAGATGTGATATTCTAGTAGTTCTACTTTCCTTCGATGACAGGTTTGTATTTTCTCAATTTATTGATTTGTTTTAATATTGATATGAGTTATATTGTTCTTGTCACGATATGGCTGAGATATTGCCGATGTGACGTTAAATCTTAACTCACTCACTCATCAATGCGCTTGTAAATGGAGACCAGTTTACAATGTGAGTAAGAGCTACATATTAGTGTTCTTTCGTTCTCAAAGTGATATTGTGTGTCCAAAGAGTTATGTGGTGAAACTGAACTACCTCACAAAAACATCACTTATCTATGTTCTCCTCTCGTGTAGTGGTAAATCCATGGAGCGGACCCATCGTGCTTTTGAGAAGTCGAAAAAACTCGTCAATGTAAACCATAATCATGGATTTTACTTTGGAGGCTTAAATCCGCTCTCTTCTGTACGAGTTATTAGACGCGTAATATTACAGTCCCCTCTGCACTATATCGCTGTATTACCTGGCGTTCAATTATCACCACAAAACCAAAAATGCTGGAAATATATATTTCAGTAAAAACGTTCAAGGTCTACCCAAGCAAATCCCAAATGAAGTTGTGCTTGAAAGCCTATCAGTATACAATCCTATACTGGCTCTCAATCCCTGCTTCTTATGGCAAACTTTGTAGAGTAATGGCAACGTACTCCGTAAATCCAAGTGGACTAGCACTGTGTTGGATAAAGTGTACTGTATGAATATGTCCCTTCTTACCAGCCGTATGGTGAGACAAATGGACCTATCAAGATATGTCTTCATTAGACCTGCTGAACATAATAAACTGTGGCTGTTATGTCAACTTTATCCACGTAAAGTTAAGGCTTTATTTCGTATTGTCTCATTTGCATCAAGAAGGCTGATGTTGCTCATGATATCATTAAGCTGCACGTGTTTATATCTTGCCGTGTGAATATGGTAGAAAGAAATGAACTGTAAGAAAGAGTCATTGATATCCTCGATGTACATTGCTTTGTCAACTTGGCGGCAAACGATGATGACATTATGCTTACATTTCTTCTTGCTGGTTTTCCAGAATGTACTGCTGGCTCTGATTTTGATATCTGGTGCAAAGTAATGTTCCTGGTTGCTGGTCTTATTCATAAATGCAACCATAACAATTCCCTGTCAGCACCTGTCTACCTGGCAAAATCAAAGATGAGACTGAGCCGAAATTTATTCCGCTGACAAATACAAAGCCGTTATGTTTATGAAAAAGGACCCAGCGTCTTAAAAATAACCATTTGATGCACATCATAATAATGTGTGTGTATGATCCTCTGCACCCTGCAGGGTCCTGATAATATAGTTCGGTAACTCAGAAAAGCACATATGAGGCGTCTTTAACAGATATCTGCTCAAGATTGCAAATTATTGGTACGTGGAATGCGGGCAGCTCATTGAAGAGATGTTCTCCTATACTCGACCGTTACGCAACATAACAACACATTTGACAGTGGGACACGCTGTGCGCTGCACGGCCGAGATTTATTCCTGCAACTGCAACATACATTCGTTACATACATCTGATCACAATATCTTGCTGTTGCCTGCCACGTCAAACCAGAGGAAAATAACTCTCTTGGAGAAAAATACTCTGGAACCGTGTTCCCTCAACGAATGCAAACAGCAACTACCGGAGGGTTTACAGTATACATGCGATCTAATATACATATCCATGAGCATGTTAGACACTTTATATCCAGGCCACAGGTAGCTAACATAATAGACTTAACAAATATATCTTAAAGCTGCATCACTTAATCACATCAGTAGGAACCCACACTAGTGAGTGAGTGAGTTACTATTTAACGTCACATCAGCAATATCCCAGCCATATCGTGACGAAAACAATCCATACAATAAACAGTGGAAACATTTTGAAGATTAAAACCTGTCGGCGATGGACAGTAAAAAAGACTAGAGAATCACAGATATAAATATAAAACTAGCGAGCAAAGTTAAAATATTCCAATCAAAGAAGACAATACAATATAAAATACGGGCTATAGATCGCCAGCAACTGAAGGTAGATCACGATACTAGGAACCCACACTAAGTACAGTTGTACTGACAATAACATGCGTGGACATACACTATCAAGATATAACTTCTCTATGTACTATAACAGTTTTTCAGTCCAAACAATATAATACCGACTGCGCGTACGGCAGCTTACATTAGTATTATAACGGTTCTTCAGAGCAATATACATAATCGAATGTCTGCACATACAGCAGCTCACATTACTATCACACTGGCTCTGTAACCTAGCAACAGCAACACGCCTGGATTACAACAGATCTTAGTCCCACTGTCACAAATCTGAAACATACAACAAAATGTTAAAATACTGAAAACGACATGCTTTACATAGAAACATGACGTAGTGGCCGTGCTTGCACTGGAGCGAGAATACACAATTCAAGTCTTAATCCCCTGAAATAGCTCTGTTTAGCGCCACTGGCGCAGACTACTCTACTCACATTAAAGCTCCACACCACTAGGAGAAAGTAATTACCTTCTTATTCATCCTTCAAACGAGCTTGTCGTCACGATATGGCTGAAATATTGCCGATGTGACGTTAAATATTAACTCACTCACTCACTCAAACGAGCTTGTCATCCGTCGACTATCAGTCGACACTGCAATGTGAGTGAACATTACATTTAGACCACAGGGCATCGATCTTTCGTTGTCCACTCGGTAACTGCCTTTCATGGATAGTGGAGTGCAGTAACATAGATCCCTGTAGATCCTAGATAGCCTAGATAGCGTTCAGGTAGAGTCGGTCTTATCGACAGGTGGTGTAATGTCCCCCTCAAGTACATAGATTCTGCGATCACCCATCCCTAGTACACTGCAATAAATATAGTTACGACCAGGGTATGAATAAACGCCTTTAAACATAAATAATATAAGTTCTTAATTATCTTAATATTACGGCATCTCTTGCCAATTTCTAGGATCCATTTGTGCATAGGAAAGATACAATATTGCTAAAACACTTACCTCACATTCACTACGTTCGCTAATATGTTGCTGCAGTTGACCTAATGCTTTGGAAACGTATGTTAGTCTGCACGGTAGATTGGACAGTCCGGCTTGGTCACTGGGTCATCTTGATCTGTCGCCAATCTGGTTTGTCTGTCCTTGAGTCGACTATTCATCGGCCGGGGTCATACAGCTGAATTACTACTGCAATCGTCAGTAAACAACAAATGAAACTCACAAGTTATGATATATGTTACATGGCATCCCTGCTAGATGTCCAATATAACTCACCAATAAATAGTGTTGTGTACATTGATTTTATATTGTGAAAACACTATCAACAAAAACGATAACGCGTGCAGGAGATACACGCGAGCGTGTGTGTTTGTACGTGTGCGCGTGAGTGTGTGCGTGTATGTGCGTATACGCGTGTCGTTTCTGGGCCATCAGGTACAAGCATCTCCGTACAGCGGATCTGAAAGGAACACACAGTTGCCAGCTACTACATCAATGAGTGACAAATATAGCTTATAACCAAAGGTTCAAGGGTTGGAGGGACAACGCGGATTGAAATGGGTTCTATCATTCCACACTTTACGGCAAGTACTATGTACCAGGTCAGCACTGGTGGTTTACTGGTACCGACTCTGCCTCACCTATTGTTTTTCTACAACATTAAGCGCCGCCATACAGCTGGAATATTGCCGAGTGAGGCGTAAAACTAAAGTCACTCACTCTACAACATTAAGACAAGCATATATTTAAAGCACTGCGTGCTTATCTTGGAACAAACTGGCTACTTATCAATGGCAATTGGATTATTCAAACGTGAACATGATACGTGTGATAATAATAGAAGTGTTTGAGTGAAGTTCTGTCATCGAGATGACATTGTACTATGCTTTGCTTGTATACCAAAACGTAAGCCACAAAGTCGCTAGAAGTGTGCTTGTACGTCAAGTGGGAACACTAATATATTTGCTGAGATCACACGAGGTATGAATGGTGAAAGCTGATTGTTAAGAAATCAAGAATTAAGACACAACACATTCTCTATCAGAACGATGCAAATATCAAATACAGTGAGGAGAAGTATTATTTCCCGAGATTTTACATGTACATTTGGACGTTAAAGCAGGTTGGACAATTAAGGGGTGAACGTTTATAGATTGGGTGGTGGATATCCTTTCTCATACAGTCTGATCTGTTAGGCTCCACAGGATAACTTCTGGATGTTTGCAAATAATGTAAACAAATCCTAAATATATGCAATCTCATTTGTATGATAACTGAGTTATCGCCAGTGTGTGTTTATACATCACCATCAAATACTTGGAGTTATACTAGCATTCACGTTAGGCACGTGCACAAGTGCTGACAAAGTTACTGATTCATTTACCTGAGCTGTGCCTTCTCCATACTTTCTCCCACACCTGGCTGTTCCTCTCTTTGCACTCCTCCCTCGTAACAAAAACTGAACTGTGTAAATATTTTAATGACGGTTTGTTAAACAGCTTTTTTAGTTTTAGGACATAAATTCACAGAGTTGGTCTGATGTTTTGATTATGATCAGCGTTTTATCGAGCGTTATATGTTTATTAGTTTCCGAGTTAGATTGCCATTCATTGGTCCGATTTTGATCCAAAAGACCTATAGTAAACAATTTCTTAATGATCATGCATTATCGTGTTTGTTATCGATGCCATAAACCAATATGATATGCTCCCGGAATATACAAATAATGGCTCTTTATCCTCGCCAAAAACGTTCAGTACCAATGTACGTTATACATGACTCCATATCACACCCAGGTCAAAATCCTAGTGAAAGTTCTATTCACTTAAAATACTTACCTACAGATGAGTATCCAACATTGTCTACTTCATTTATTGGGCTCCATGCACTAGAAGGAAGTAACACTTTGAGCTCATATGCATTCACAGTTGGGTGTTGTGCAGATGTGTCTAAAAACCTTCAGTTTGAATACGTTGAATAAGTTATGTACGTGTATTAAACTAAGTAAAGAGATTGATACATTTTAAACATCACCTTTCTCCTGGAGTCGATTCTGTGAAATAAAGGAAAGGCATACATTCATGTTTGTTCTTGGTTAATTCAGTTTAACAAAACAGGTGGTTTTATTTAAGCATTTTCTGCATTTCAAAACCTAACACCATCCCTCCATAATATTAAATTGTCAGTCTCTAAATAGCACGATAAACAATTATTCATTTATATGATAAATACATTTCTCGTATATGTGCCAGCGTGATGATGAATTCTACCTTTACATACATACCCATCTGTATTCTTTTCTGACAAAACAGGCATATAGTAGCCCTTCAACCAGTAGGATGAGAAGAGCAGTTCCGATCACAGATTCAGCTATAAACCATGCGTGGCAAAACACAAGGAAACTTAAACATAACAATAAGTAACCAATACAATAGTACACAAATTAACACTGCGAGGATAACCATTAAACATGCATTTGTCTTACTGTGTTTTCTCACAAAAAACCTGGAAATCAATGGCCCGAAAAGCTGTTGTCACAAATTGTGTTGAATGTTCAGTCTTGTATGAGCATGCATGTTCGGAAGCATAAAGGTATCAGGTACCTGAGATGGTCTTTGCTTCCAGGAAGACAAATGCTGTGGTTGATGCCTCATACTTGGTATTCCGAGCATGAAGCCGGAAGCCGTATGTCTCCCCAGGTGCCAAACTGTTCACTTCCACCGCAAACGCTTCACCTGTATCTCCGTAGGTACCAAGTACATTCCATGTTGAAGAGCCAAACGTGGGGTACTCCAACACAAACTCCCGGGGGTAGCCTCAATCGAACCCAGGCGTCCATGTCAACCACACAGACGATGTTGTCTCGTTGTCAATGACTTTGAATCGTGTTGGTTCATCAGGTGGTCCTGACTCAGTTAAACAAAAATAGTCATCACAGATAAACAGTTGATTTGCATAGGGGCGCCAGTCAAACTGCACACTTCATTTAAGACATGTTATTTCGAGATCAACAGTGTTGATTTCACACTGAGCATAAATGAGATATGACATGGAGCATATGTGTGAAAAATGAGAATCATGACGGAAAAATAATGAATGAATGAGTGAAAGTCAATGGATAATAGCAATAGGGCATTTCCTCATATGTTTTCCTTCCTCTAAAAATCTGAAATCAATAGATAGCTGTTTTAAGGTTTGCTTCTACCTGCAAATGGAACAGAATCGGATATAGAGAAATCAGTAAAGGGTAAAACGTCGTTGCATGGGAATGATCGAAAATCTCCACATCGACCATTTGTGTTGCTGTTCGTAAACTCACTATTTACTCACTTTTCTTCCTAAAGGGTTAGTTTATTCACAATGTTAGTTTGGGAATATTCAACTTCAAGGAAGTATTCGAGAGACACTTGGATAGCTTAGCACATACTAATGTAACAATACCAGTCTTTCAGTAAACAAGCCGGGGAATGGGAAATCAGAGAAAAAACATGGGATTCTTTTCTAATATAATCAAAACGAAAACCCCAAAAAACTAGTTACAAAACAGTCTTGTCTATTGCATTCAATTTACATATAGATTCTCGCCATGCACCTTCAAACCCAGAACGATTTTGTCAGGCATATGAGTCATATTACATCTTGCTTTTTTATATCAACGGGGTTGAATGTGATGTCGGGTGCATCTAGGGAATAAAACAGTTTAACATAATCATGACACGAATTGTCATATAATTCAAGCTGTGGTTAGATGTAGAAAATAGTTACAGTCCAAAGGATTTCCTTACTTGTTAGCATTATCTGCTAATAACCAGCAACTGTCAATATGTATGCAAACTCTATGCTGCTCTAGCTAATGTGACATACACGACCGACACTATATGTACATAACGACCTTGAGAGTACACCCCAACTGTAGACCACTATGTGGTGTTACCTAAAGAACTCACAGTAAACAGCGGCCCTGGGAGTAGAATAGAAGCGAGAAAACGCTTTCCACCTCCATACCAAATCTCTGCTAAAAGCAAAGTCGACTGTACAGTCATGAATGGATATTTGTTTTACACCTGCAGAATGAAGTTTGTAAACAAATCGAGTCTAGACCAGACAGTCCAGAGATTGTCGCCATGCAATATGATGACAGAGCATGTGTTTATGATCACTATAAAATAGTCCAGATACTAGGTGTACGCGAAAAGGTGAGCGTATCCTGCCCCACCGGTGGCACCATCATAAACATATCCAAAGTCCAGTCAATTGTTCATCTGAAATAATTGTACTGATGGTACCAGTCAAACTAGGGAACTGCATCTGACATCATTTTTGTCAACCAAACCATACATACGATTGTAGAGTATTTATACCACCGTGGGGAACAATCCATTACTCCAAGCATACAGAATAGTTTGTATTGTTTAGCATCAGTTGTACTTGATTGAAATGTCCCATAATGGAATTTCATGGCAATATTTGTAAAAGTAGAAAAGAAAAGTTGTCGTTTATTTCAATATCTCGTTAATCTTATTATAAAATATTGTATTTAGTCCCTGCAATACGGATTCATTTATCTGAGGAGTACACATACCAAGCACTATACAATAATAAATATCAGACATATTTCAAAAGCAATTAATACAACAACTATTCGTTACAAGCTACAAGCTATAGAAGTTCAACTACACTCTCTCAAAAAAGAAACGCAACCCCTATCTAAATATCTGACATCATTTCTAGAATAAAGATGGTGAATGTAAATTAGAATTTTCTTGAAAATACTGTTAATACGTTCCCATCTGATCAGTATAAGCTCCCAAACGGAACCATTGTCACACATGATGACCTTTGTATCCGTGTTATTTGAGAAAGTGCGAAATTGTCATGTACAAAATGCTAAAAGCCTGTTGCACGTGCAAATCGTTGAAAACACAGTTCATATAGAGGGTTTTAAAAGCACGCCTAGTTTGTAATTTTTCTCTCATAATTTGCTCTGCAAATCAAGTTCGAAAATGCCCGTTTGAGTACAGCAAATCGAAATATTGCCATTGGTCGCATTGAGGCCGGGGAAAGCTTTGGAACAGTTGCCCGTCATCTAAACGCACACAAAACAACAATCTCACGACTTTGGAATCGTTACACACAGTTCCATGCAATTGAAGATCGTCCCAGGAGCGGTAGACCTAGGATCACCACACCGGCTCAGGATCGCTTTATTCGACTCAGCCACCTACGTAATCGGCATGCCACACCCACCATCACTGCAACACAGGTGCCAGGTTTGAGGAGAGTATCGGCCCAAACCATCAGGAACCGTTTACATGAGACAAATTTACGTGCAAGAAGACCAGTTGTTGGGCCCGTCTTGAAACGCCAACATCGACGCCAACGTCTCAGGTGGTGTACTAACGTAAGGAGATGGACCCTAAGAAACTGGAGAAGAGTCTGGTTTAGTGGCGAAGTCTCGCTTCTTCAACGACGTGACGGTAGACAACGTGTCTATAGACGAGCAAATGAACGTTTTGCACGAACTGCGTTCGACAGGTCGACAGATTTGGAGGAGAAAGCATCATGGTATGGGGAGCCATGTCTTACAACCAACTGTCAGACTTGGTCATCATTCGTGGCAATTTGACGGCACAAACGGTACATTGATGACGCCTTACAGCCACATCTTCTGCCGATAATCGACCAACAGAGGTAGTTGTTTCAACATGACAATGCCCGCCCTCATACAGCTCGTGCAACAGTGGCATTCCTACAGAATTCAAACGTCAACGTGATGCCGTGGCCCTCCAGATCGCCAGACATCAATCCTATCGAACATCTGTGGGACCAGCTGGATCGTCGCCGTGTTCGTGGCATCGACACCACCACAACCGCACACGTTGGTTGAACTGGCCGCAGCACTCCAGGAAGAGTGGAGAGCAATCCCCAGGAAAACATCCGCCGTCTGATTCGTTCTGTTCCGAGGAGGTGCACTGCTGTGATTAGAGCTCGTGGCTTTACAACGAGATACTGAAGACAACGCCCCCTAGCGTAAATTGAGAGTTCGATACTGACCTGCATTAACTGTTACCTTATACCGTGCTGACCTAAGGTTCACCATGTCAAATTTCATGGCATTATCTTTAAAAATACAAATGTAATAACCAGTTAAAATTGATATAAACATTACCAAAAAAACCAGGGGTTGCGTTTCTTTTTTGAGAGAGTGTAGTTTCAGAAAACATTATTTCTATAGTGCCTTCAAAATGCAGTGATATTTGTTTTGTTAGTTTAAAAAAAACCCAAAACAACAAACAAACAAAAAACAAAACAAAAAAAACAAAACAAACATTCATTAGAGGTAATCAAGATATTTCAGGCAAAGTTGAAAACAGAAATGAGCAAAAGCTGTTATATTTTCTATACGTCAGGTATGCACAATGATTCACACGATTCATTCTTTGAAAGCACATTCTCACCAAACATACTCTCTTGGCCCTATGTTTATGTTATCAATGTCAATAGTTGCGGAATTCTGTTAAACAATACACACGTATATACATGGAGATAACATATTGGAGCAGGACCGGAGATTAATAAACTTACACTTGACATCCCCGAGTGACAGAGTCTTGTTGACCACCACTGCTGTCCTGGTGTTTCTCACGCTACATCTGACATCTGGCTTGCTCCTGACAGGACGGAATGTCCGGGTCTGTGACCACGTGGTACTCGCTGATCCTGTCACAGATCCTGTACTTCCTCCTGTTATGTCCGACCCGTCACTGTAGTCCCAGGTGAAGGTCACTCCGGGAGACACGGAGGTCAAGGTTTCACATGTCAAGGTCAGGTCACGGTCCTCCGCTACCACACTGTTTGCTGGTTTTGTCACTCTCACCTGGTCTGTGTCTGGTCCGTCTGGTTACAAGTAAACAGAATTATCAGTAAAGTTACTAACTGGGTATCTCTTGGTCTCAGGGTTTCGGAACGAGCGGAACACGAGCAGAATCAGGTGGTCAGGCTCGCCGACTCATTTTGCACTTGTCATCGTATCCCAGTTGCGTTGATCGATGCTCATACTGTTCATCACTGGATTGTCTGGTCAAGACTCGATTATTTACAGACCGCTGCCATAAAACTGCAGTACTGCCGAATGAGGTGCAAAGATCAGCCGGACAGTTTCCATTCAACATGCGTAAATGACAAGGGTGCTCTTTTTGTCGATCAATATTTATATGTATTGAAATATATTCTTGATTTATCTTTACATGATAGCCAAGATATGCCCTTTAAAGTGGCCTGATGCAACCTATATAAGATAACCATTTCTCAGTAAACTCACACTCTAGTACAGATCCAATACACCAATACACTACTCAGTCAGTCTGTGTAGACTTACACCTAACCTCAAGTGTGGTTCTGTTAGACTGTGTCTACTTCCACCAAACCTCCAGTGTGGCTCTGTTACACGAGTGTCTGCTTACATCAAACCTCCAGTGTGGCCCTGTTACACAGTGTCTACTTATACCAAACCTCCAGTGTGGCCCTGTTACACAGTGTCTACTTATACCAAACCTCCAGTGTGGCCCTGTTACACAGTGTCTACTTATACCAAACCTCAAGTGTGGCTCTGTTAGACTGTGTCTACTTACACCAAACCTCCAGTGTGCCCCCGTTCGAATGTCTACATACACAAAAACCCCAGTGTGGCCCTGTTAGACTCTGTCTACGTACGCGAAACCTCCAGAGAGTCCCTTTTAGACTGTGTCTACATACCCCAAACCTCAAATGTGGCTCTCTCAGACTGTTTCTACTTTCACCAAACCTCAAGTGTGGCTCTGTTAGACTGTTTCTACTTACGCCAAACCTCAAGTGTTGCTCTGTTAGACTGTATGTACTTATGCCAAACCTCCAGTGTGGCTCTCTTAGACTGTGTCTACTTACACCAAACCTCCAGTGTTGCTCTGTTTGACTGTGTCTACTTACACCAAACCTCCAGTGTGGCCCTGTTAGACTGTGTCTACTTACACCAAACCTCCAGTGTGGCTCTGTTAGACTGTGTCTACTTACACCAAACCTCCAGTGTGGCTCTTTTACACAGTGTCTACTTACACCTAACCTCCAGTGTGGTCCTGTTAGACTGTGTCTACTTACACCAAACCTCCAGTGTGGCTCTGTTACACAGTGTCTACTTAAAACAAACCTACAGTGTGGCTCTGTTAGACTGTGTCAACTGACACCAAACTTCCAGTGTAGCTCTTTCAGAGTGTGTCTACTTCCACCAAACCCCCAGTGTTACCATGTTACACTGTGTGTACATACACCAAACCTCCCGTGTGAAGCTGTTGAACGGTGTCAACGGTGCCATGTTAGACTATGTCTACTAACACCAAACCTCCAGTGTAACCATTTTAGACTGTGTCTACTTACACCAAACCTCCAGTATAACCATGTTAGACTGTGTCTACTTACACTAAACCTCAAGGGTGGCTATCTTAGACGGTGTCTACTTACACCAAACCTCCAGTGTGGCTCTGTTAGACTGTGTCTACTTACACCAATTCGCCAGTGTGGTCCTGTTAGACTGTGTCTACTCACACCCAACCTCCAGTATGGCCCTGTTACACTGTGTCTTCTTACACCAAACCTCCAGTGTGGCTCTGTTAGACTGCGTCTACTTACCCCAAACCTCCAGTGTGGCTCTGTTAGATTGTGTCTACTCACACCAAACCTCCAGTGTGACTCTGTTAGACAGTATCTACTCACCCCAAACCCCCAGCGTGGCTCTGTTAGACTGTGTCTACTTACACCAATTCGCCAGTGTGGTCCTGTTAGACTGTGTCTACTTACACCAAACCTCCAGTGTAGCCCGTTACACTGTGTCTACTTACACCAAACCCCCAGTGTAACCATGTTAGACTGTGTGTACATACACGAAACCTCCCGTGTGAAGCTGTTGAACGTTGTCAACTTTCACCAAACCTCCAATGTATCTCTGTTACACTGTGTCTACTCATACCAAACCTCAAGTGTGGCTCTGTTATACTCTGTCTACATACACCAAACCTCCAGAGATGTCCTGCTAGACTGTGTCTACTCATACCAAACCTCAAGTGTGGCTCTGTTATACTGTCTCTACATACACCAAACCTCCAGAGTGGCCCTGCTAGACTGTGTCTACTTACACCAAACCTCCAGTGTGGCCCTGTTATACTGTATCTACTCACCCCAAGCCTCCAGTGTGACTCTGTTAGACTGTGTCTACTTACACCAAACCTCCAGTCTGGCTCTCTTAGACTGTGTCTACTTACACCAAACCTCCAGTGTGGCCCTGTTACACTGTGTCTACTTACACCAGACCTCCCGTCTGGCTCTGTTATACTGTGTCTACTTGCACCAAACCTCCAGTGTGGCTCTGCTGAATTGTGCCTACTTACATTTAACCTCCAGTATGACTTTGTTACACTGTGTCTACTTACACCAAACCTCCAGTGTGGCTCTGTTAGACTGTGTCTACTCACACCAATTCGCCAGTGTGGTCCTGTTAGACTGTGTCTACTTACACCAAACCTCCAGTGTGGCTCTGTTACACAGTGTCTACGTACACCTAACCTCCAGTGTAACCCGTTACACTGTGTCTACTTACACCAAACCCCAGTGTTACCATGTTAGACTGTGTGTACATACACCAAACCTCCCGTGTGAAGCTGTTGAACGGTGTCAAATTACACCAAACCTCCAATGTATCTCTGTTACACTGTGTCTACTCATACCAAACCTCAAGTGTGGCTCTGTTATACTCTGTCTACATACACCAAACCTCCAGAGATGTCCTGCTAGACTGTGTCTACTTACACCAAACCTCCAGTGTGCCCCTGTTAGAATGTCTACACACACGACACCCCCAGTGTGGCCCTGTTAGACTGTGTCTACTTATGCGAAACCTCAAGGGAGTCCCTCTTAGACTGTGTCTACTTACGCAAAACCTCCAGAGAGTCCCTGTTAGACTGTGTCTACTTACACCAAACCGCAAATGTTGCTCTGTTAGACTGTGTCTACTTACACCAAACCTCTAGTGTGGCTATGTTAGATTGTGTCTACATACCCCAAACCTCAAATGTGGCTCTGTTAGACTATGTCTACTTACCCCAAACCTCCATTGTGGCCCTGTTACACTGTGTCTACTTACCCCAAACCTCCAGTGTGGCTCTGTTGGACTGTGTCTACTTACACCAAACCTCCAGTGTGGCTCTGTTAGACTGTGTCTACTTACACCAAACCTCCAGTGTGGCTCAGTTAGACTGTGTCTACTTACACCAAACCTCCAGTGTGGCTCTGTTAGACTGTGGGGATGTCTGACCGTTGATGTTTTCAGCCTGACAACGAATGCTCCTCCCCTGGTCACCCCTACTGACAGTGAATGTGACGGAGCTTGTCGTCTTCACCAGGACACCAGATGTCGTCTCTGTGCTGATTGTAGGTGTCGTTCCTAATGGCAAGGTCACCCAGGTCACAGTAGAAGTGGGAAAACTGGCTGACGTCACACAGGTCAAGGTCAGGGATTGACCTGCCACTAGTCCTATCTTCTCATTATCAGAACTGATGTTTGTCAGTGTCACAGAGGTAACTGGGACTGCAAGAGCAAATTTAACTGTTATAACAATTTTAATTAAAGCAGTTTTAGAGGTAGTATGTCTGGTTTTGCATCACGTTAATATAATAAGTGGAAACATTTCTTCCACCTTAAATGCATTGTAAACAAAAGCACACATGCCTTATCGTTATTTAAATCTTAACATGAAAATAATTGAGAAACATATACATCGTCATACATCCTATTACCTACAGATACCCCATAAATATTTACTAACACACATCTCAACACGTTAAAGTCCGTGTAATTATTAATAATCAGTGAAATCAGTGAAATAGTTGTAGTCTTAGTGCAGTATGTATTTATGTAATCCATTAAATAACTGAAACGTATATATTCAAACATAAATCTCTTTTTGCAAACTGTTTCTCAACACCGTCTGTCATTACTGTTTTTACGTGATCATTTCTTACTATTTTCATAGCTATTTTTCCCTTTACACTAAACGGGAATTGTCCAGGCATGGTATTCTTTTGACGTCCTACATTTGACCAGCTATATCATGCTGTGTGTCTGTTTGATCTGGGAGGGAAGCCCGCCATGACTAAGCGTCGACGTGCCCAGGTATGTGGACATGAAACATTCAAAATTTATTAAGGGAAAGGAAATACATGGTCATATAGAGTATTTGTAGAGCACATAGAAGTGGTACACATAAAGACAAGAATGTTATGGATGTCAGCTTCTTTACTTTGATGGAAGTTTCGGAGTATATTTTTATTCCTTCATCAGGTGAAATATTGTCAATAAACGTTGTACATTACTAGAATCTTTGGGGTATACCGAGCTGTTGAGTTACGTGATTTGAACAAACAAGAAACCTTTCGCTGTACAAGTTTATACATAAACCTGTTCGATGTCACATTATTTACTTGATTTCTTATGCAGAAAAATCCAGTTGTACTAGGGACTAGCATAAACATATTGGTCATTCAGTTTGTATGTATTCCACATAGGTTTACAGCTGTTGTAATAGGGCGTCATATTGAACATATTTGGCATCTTCATAAAAGCTATACACACTTGTTTATGATATTGTCTGGATCATACAGGGGAATTGTTTATGATTGTGGAAAGGGTATATAATCGAATGCTTACAATTTTTACTGTGTATACTGCTAAGACAGTACACAGCATTAAACAATTTCCATTCTTTCCATTGCCCTGATTCCTCAAATAAACATATTGTTCTTAAAACACCTACCCTGAGTTGTGTCATTGTAAGTTGTAAGTGACCTTTCATACTGAGTCAAAATTCATATTGCATCCATAATATGTCACCCTTTGCTTTGACATGTTTAAACAAATGGGAATTATATCAAATGGGATGGAGAAGGACAGGGTCTTTGACAATCTGAACATTCATTGTGCAAAAAGATAATGTTTGTAATATGTAAGCAAATTAAACATTTTCTTCCAAATTAATCACAAAACTAAGTATTGCATTGCATTCCCCATAGGTGAAAATATTCAATCAAGCAATTTTCAACTTGATTAATGAAAATGATATGTCAGTTTTCAGGTTTTAGTTTGGCGTTGCCGGCCGTCATAGATTTCTCTATTTCGGGGCATTGTAGGACATTTTTGAGCTTGGCATACAGCATATTTGGATTCAGCACCCATCAATACCCCTAAAAAGCTTGTACGCCAAAAATTAACGCGATTTGCCTTCAGCGCCTTAAGTAAGGACTTTTTCCCCAAAGCCGCCTAGACTATTAGCCGAACTCACACTTCTTTGATGTGCATTCGAGATATAGGATGCCAATATTGATAGACACCATAAACACCTGGGCATGCTCACGATAGGCATGAGATACACCCGGGATACATGATACATGTTCAGTATATAAAGTGTCAGTGATAAACTGCTCCCATTGGTACTCACAAATATTTCGATGCACTCGAAATACGATATTATTCAATGTTCAGTTTGGTAGAGATCAACAGCCCATAGTCATTCTAACCTGTATTTGGCTTAACAGCAGGTAATGTTGCACAAATAGACGCTTGTTGTCATTAGTTGGATATATCTGGAATATGTGACAAACAACATCAGTTAATTCACTTATTCGCTTGAGCCAATCAGCTGCAGGCAACCAGTGTACATAGTTTTCTAGGTCCTTACTACTACGTAAATAGCGAGTGAGGCTAATCAAACATTTTTACAACTTGCACCTACCATATTTTACAGCTACACTAAAATATTACAGAAAATACTAACGCCAATTCTTTGTACGAATCGTGTGCTCGTGTGTCAAGATTGTGTCATGGTGATGCAAGCAAACAGTTTATAATAGATCACTTGCATATGAATAACATGAATAAATACGTCGTATTTTACAATCATGTAGTTTCTTTTCAATCCGGGAAGACACACATTCAATGATAATCATGATTAACACGAGTGAACGTTTCACACAAACCATACAAATTCAAAGTATTGTGTCCCTTACGGGTACTCGTAGTAGACGGTTGTCTCTGTCTACATAATGCGACCCAGTGGCCTATTTATGTTGCAGTCTTAGTTGTCAGTGCTTGGTGAGTGGGTGCACA